TGGCTCCGTTCCATCATAGAGGGAAACAGCTGTGCATGCGCGATATATCTGTCGCCAAAGTTCGAAACCGGTGTCGAAGTTCGAAGGTCATGTTATCAAGAGTTCATAAAATGAATATTGTTTAAAATTTCTTTAAACTCTAAAGGAAAAGAAGATATTTTTTGGTGCAAGTAAATTAATTCATGGATTAATTATTTTGAAGGAAAAAGGAAACTACGAAAATCAGTTTTTAAAATTATTGCGAAAAATCCAAGAAAAAACGTTCTTTGATAAAACGTTTCTTCTTGGATTTTTCGCAATAATTTAAAAACGGATTTTCGTAGTTTTTTGTCAAAGAACATTTCTTGACATGATCATGAGCAGTAAACGGGTCATTTTGTTCTTGGCGACAATTTTCAAAATCGTGCGAAGACCGTACCGTATAGTAGGATTTTACCGCAAAATCTTTTTAAACCTTTTCTTTTTAATAAATACCTTGTCATTTTGCAGTAAAATAAAAAAAAATGTAATCAGTCATCTAGGCTAACCAAGTAATATAACTATATTCGCTAAAATATTGTTGATTATTCTAATTCAATTTTTAAGTAATTATCTTTATTTGTATGTTATTCATATCATTTAATGTTGCTTCTTCCTCTAAATTTATTTATCATTAGTAAATAATATTTCCAAATTTCAGGAAATTTTCTCTGGCATAATCCTGAAATTAATTCTAGCAGTATGATGACATACCATCACGAAATTTAATGCACATATTTTTTCCTTATGTATACTGCGAAATAAATATAAAATACCTCAATTTATTAAAAAATATCATTAAATAGATTTCTTTCTTTCATTTAGCTGCAGAATGTCTGCAAAAAAAGACTTATTTTATTCCACATTGGGCAGATTCTAATCTCAATCTTCAGTGGAGAAAACAACTCCTATTATAATTATATTTGTGTTTTCAAGTGTTAAAATGCCTTTTAAGAAGACACCTCATACAAATTAAATTTACCTAAAATCTAACCTAACTATTTAGCATTGCATTGTGATTTATCAGAACCGAATTAGCCTCGTGTTGAACTGGTGATGATCATGAGTAATAATTAAATAAAACCTACAATTGTTATCCAATGTATATATCTTAAATTTTATTAAGTTTCATAAGTGGAAAAGTAAACAAAGTGTACCAAGAATAATTAATAATAAATGTCCTCTGGGATTTATTGAATAATTAAGTTAATTTGCTACACAATACAAGTAATACTATATTTAATATACCTCTTAGCACAGCCAATGTACATTACACGGATAGACCGGAATTTTCTCGAAACATACCTGGAAAAGTCGGGGAATTTCATTCTCGTGTTTGAGTGGCAACCCTGTCCTCCTCCGGCTGATCCTCCTCTTGCTGCTCCTCCTCCGGCTGCTCCTCCCTTTGTTGCTCCTCCTTATTGAGGAGCAGCAGGAGGAGAAGCAGTAGGATGAAACATTTACTTTAACCCCTTCGCGTCGGGTAGCGCAAACTCGTGCTTATCGCGGAGGCCCGCAGTGTCTTACGCGAGCATCTGTCCACAGCCGGGGGCTTTTTTGCTTATAAGCCTAAATCCATGAAATTTCCGAAGTATCAACGCATTGTTTAATGATGCTCTATAGAGTATTTAAATGGCTTATGCTTTATAGATATTTTTATACTATATACTTTAATTACCTTATTTCTTGTTTAAATGCATATTTTACACATTTTATTTTCATTACTCACCATTTTATGACTTTTAACATTAAAAATCTGAAAACTAAATATATTACTTAAAATTCTCTTTTCTTATGAAAAATTTGAAAACAGGAATCTACACACAGTCGTACGTTACATTCCTTGAACTCGTAATAACTCATTTGTCGTTTTGGAGAATTTTTCCGGGAATGTGAGCAAAACGAAGCATCGTCGTCTCATTTTCTTATCAGTCTCTTCTGAACAAAGTTTTGGAAAATGTCTTTCAGTTAATCTTTCAGAATCAATATCTGAAATATTTTGCATCATTTCTGCTATTTCATGCTCTGTTAAACATTTTCGACGCTTCGACATTGCAACGGTAAAAACAGAAAGAATTCACGTCTAACAAGATCTAATTATTTTCTAAAAACTTAACTGCAAACCGAAATACCCAACGCTTTAGTGCAAATAAAACTTCTCTACTTACAGTAAACAACTACCACGTGCGAATAATGTGTGATTTAAAGAGACGTCATAAATCACGCCATTCGGAAACATTTATTTCCCCATATGTTTATATAATCAAAAATACGTGCATGTGAGTCATGCTTCTCTCATTTTGAGTAGAAGGTCTAATGTACATGTATCTGAAACCATATGGTCATACAGTGCCATCTTGTGGCAGAAATTATAGTTTTTCAAACATACTAGGACACTGGCACAAATACATGACAGTCAGTTGAGAACGGGAAAATGCTCTGGCATGCCTGCATGTCAGCCGGGAGGTGAGTGTGTAGACTGGCACGTAGACGTGACAGTTGGCGCGAAGGGGTTAAAACCAGTGTCCAACACCAGATGGGAAAGTAGAATTCAGGCTTTGGGCTTCTGTTTAAGACGCAACGGAAGATCGGAGAAAACGATTTGACGGGAAATTTGAAAGCATTCATAAATATTCAAGATCAAACAAGAGACATAGAATTAAGAACTCAATCAAAAGAGTTGATTCACATGGTTTGACGTTTAACCATCCATTATTTTTAACCATCATTTTTTCCATTAACATCTGGCACGATATTTTAAATTTAGTAAATGTGGTAAATGAAATAATGCAAAAACTCTAAATGTGATTTACAAATCGTGACTGACAATTTACAAATTCTTATATCAGAACTCAATAATCGTAGACCTAATGAAGCGTATGAACACGCAATTGCCAATGCAAGTATCGTTGCTGATGGTTTGGGGGTGGATACTGACTTTCGAAACAGGTTTAAACAAAATCAGGGTTTTTTTTTTTCGAAACAGGTTTTTAAGTCGAAACTGTTTTAAAAAGAAACTACATCAAGATGAACAAACCAATCAAAAATCCGAGACAAAAATTTAAGTTTGAATTTTGCAGTATAGTATTAGACACTACTATTTCTTCAATTACTGAAATATTCAATCAATTAAAAGAACATTACAATTACTTCAAGGTAGTACAGTATATACCTAATTTAAAAAAACTGAAGTGACAATGAAATTTTAAAGCATTGTAAAGGATTAGAAAAAAAGTTAATGGATTCTAAAAAAGTTAATGAAAAGGATACTGACGGATTATATTTGTTTGAAGAAATAAAATCTTTGCGACGTTTTACCAAAGATGATTTGGTTATGTATTGATATTTTAAATCATAGTTATGGTGTGTGTGTGTGTGATTATGACAAAGCCTTGAGGGCTATCTGCCTAAGGGAAGGGATGCCTTCGTGGAGGACTTTCTAAGGGGAACTGTATCGTATACACGTTACACATGGGGAAAAACACAAAACCGTCCATGCGGACAGCCCATTCGCGGAATTTGAACCTCATACCGAACTACCACTGTTCAGCATCTTTGCCGCTCGGCCACTGGTGGGCCCTAAATTATATTTATGAAAACAATCTTACCGATACATTTCCAAATATTGCAATAGCCTTTACGGATTTTTTTAATCCTGAGAATTTCAGTGGCTACTAGGAGAACGAAGTTTTTCAAAATTTAAAAGTATAAAAAACTACATGCCATCTACGATGGCGCCGGAGAAATTATCGGACTTGTTGGATATCCAAAGAGAGCCAAATTTTGGATAAATTAAATATAAAGGAATTGATACGCGCGTTTGTAGCTGCTAAAACTAGGGAATCAATATTTGAATATATTTTTCTAATTTTTATATTTTACTTAAAAATGTGTTATCATTGCTTAGTTTTTAAAATTTAAGAAATAATAAAAAGCAATAAGACAATTATGTGTTTTAATAATTGAGACACAGTGACAATGAAATTTTAAAGCATTGTAAAGGATTAGAACAAAAGTTAATGGATACTAAAAATGTTAATGGAAAGGATGCTGACGGATAATATTTGTTTGAAGAAATAAAATCTTTGCGACATTTTACCAAAGAGAATTTGCCACATATTGATGTTTTAAGTCATAGTTATGGTGTGTTGTTGTTGTTGTGGGCGCAGCCCCGACCCCCCTAGCCGATTCATATCAGCCATAAGGCCACAAAGGGAAGGCCCGTCTAACACAAAACAATGCAGCCAACGAGCCAGCTGTGCCCCAAAAAGAAACACTCGGTTCTTAATTTTAAAATTCTTAATCTTAAAAAAAAAACAGACAATTCTTAATTTTTTAAAGCCATAAAACATCAAATGCTCCTGCGAAACCAGGCTCGGGCCCCGAGTAACAAAAAAGTTAGAAAAATGAAACATAACAAACTGAAAAAAAAAACTGGTTCAAATGGTTGCAAGTTTTTCCTTTGGTTTCCTTTTAAAATCTCTATTAAAAACTCTGAACTCATTCATTCTAATTAACTCAAAAAAACAAAAAAATAGCACACAAACAAGAAAATTTGGTTCGTTTAAACAACTTAAAAACAAAGAAAGACTTAAAATAAAAAAATTAAATTTAAATTTTGATTCCTTTTTAAGGTCTTAAAAGCTTCATTATTTCGTAAACTATCCACTTTTATGGCCAGCAGCTTCAAATGGCTGTTATAAAAAACAATATATATATATATATACTGGCATTGGTTCTTTGTCATGTAATAACTTGAAAATGCTTTACTGTGTGAGATGCATAATGAAGAAAAACCAGGAGTTGTGGTAGAAAAATAACAAGACACAATTTATTTTTCGATACCGAAGTCCTGATGATTCTATATCTTGGACTTTTTGCTGTATAAATTTTATTTCCTTTCCTTTTTGTTGTATAAATTGACATAGAAACATTACATATTTTTATGTAAGTTTGTATTTTTAAATGTTGCTTATATGTAGGTTAATGATGTTCCATTGACTGACATAGATCATTATAGTGCTGTGCAAGTTTTGAGAAATGCTGGGAACACCATTAAATTCCAAATCCTAAGAGAAAGAGATATTCATTTTGAAGTAAGTGGACTGTTTAATCGTATGTACTGTATTCTTTGTGTAAATTAGTAAGTTTGGCTTCTGAATAGCTTTTCTTAATTCTGATTTTAAGAATTCTTCAAATAGGTATTCTTTATTAATATGAAAATTAGTATAAATTAACTGCCTTCATCAGAGTGATATTCCTATTATATTTTAGAAATTAATTATTAAATTTTAGAATTATTTTAGATTTTTCATTTTATTTTAGAAACCAGATTCATTAACAAGTTCAACTACCATGGCCAATAGTCAACAAGCATCTCATGTTCATGTACAGAATAAAATGGGTAATTCATCAATGCCAAATGCATATGAAAGCCATTCTTCTAATCCAGATGTTCCAAATAATAATCTTTGTACTGCTGTCAGTTGTATTCCACTGAATGATGTTACAAAGAAGCTTTGCAATAAATCATATTCTTTGGGTTCAAGGCAATTACCTGTTTTACCTTCAGATGAGTGTGTCCAGCTTAATCATAAACATCCTACATTTGAGCCTGAAATGACATCTACACCCATGAGCCTATCACGTGCATCATTTAAAAGTTTCCCAGATGTTGTGCAACCAGCAACACTAAATTCACTCATTCAGACTGCCTGTCATGATACTACAGATAAATATGAAGGTCCGGTTGTAAAAGTGACAATTCAGAAGCCTAGGCCATATGTGCCATTGACAGCTGAACTTCCACCTCCCACTAAAGCTGTTGGACACACTTCAGAAGTGCTGACAAAGTCATCATATAGTGAAACAACATTGACAAGAATAACCAATAATAGCCATTCTACAAAAGCACCTATTATAGAAGTAAGTAGAGCTTTTTGTATTTTTTATATTTATATTTTAAATATTGTAAAAAGTTTTAATTTACTAATTTGTTTGTTTAGAAACAGATGTGAGGCTCAGGACTAAAATACTGTAACTCACAGAGCGTAACACTTGCGACATAAATGACCCTTCGTGAGTGGTGTCTCTCTTGTGTTGTTAACACCATATGACCATTGATCAAGGAAATATCGAATCTTTTCAAAATTCTTGATGTAACCCTTCAAAATTGATTCTGGCCCTTTATTTGATCTCAAAATTACTAAATTAAGGCCTTCAGTGTTTTTACCTTTTTTTTCACTGTGGAAGGCAGTTTACCATTTGTTACCATAAATGTCTGCACCCCAACTTAAGAGATAAAATTTATGTAAAAAAAAGTGACCCACACAATGTCTGCACCCAAAAAACTAAAGAATTTCTTACTTTAAAATGTATTTTTTGAACATCGCTTTTTCCTTTCAGTCAATAACACTAGTCAATAAACATCTTTAAAGAAAGAATACGCATTTGTTTTGTCTTTGGTTGACACTAGGATGGAAAGCAGAGACTGTCTTTGCATTCTGGTGCAGCTGTTATTCAGTCATAACATCGTCGTCAGCAATCCACTCAGCAGATGCGATAATAATAAATGAAGGCAGTCCAAACAGGTTTTCACCATACTGGCTTCCAAGAAATACTGTTTTGTTATGAAATTACTTTCCCCTCCTTACTCGGAGCATTTACATGTTTCAACTTTCTCTTTTCATTCATAGTATGATTTGGAATTTGTGGTAGTTAGCAAGTAGAGTGCTTGAAATGGAAAAATACAGCAGCTATAACTGAAAGTTGCAGTTGCTTTTAAACTGAAAGTTGCAGAATTTATGCAGGAAAATGGAAAAATAGCAGCAGCAGCAGTATATAAGGTGGATGAAAAGTATGTGCACAATTGGAGCAGACAGCGTGATCAACTGGCAACAACAAACAAAACGACATTCGTTTCGAGATTCGAAATGTAAGTTTCTGAACTTAGAAAAAAAAGTAGTTGCGTATATTCATGATATGCATGCTTGAGGGTACACAGTAACATGGGAAATGTGCCAAATAAGAGTGCTTGCTGCAGCATTAGAAGAAGACATTCCTATATTGGAATTCCAGGTAAGTCAAGGCTGGTTGCAACAAATGATGAAACAAAATGGATTTTCGTTTTGCCGGTATATGACAGTATGTCAAAAAATGCCCAGTGACTATGCTTGTCATGTGCCTACTGACTATGATCATATGATATGCCCAGTAACAGATTATTTTTTAAATAATGTGTGCAAGATGTTAAAAGAACCAATGCTTATTTAATTTGTGTAAAAGTAAATATTAAAATTACAAATGTTGGTTAATTTGTGCCTCTATATTGTGCTCCTGTGCAAACTAATATGTGCCGAGTGTTTATATAAACAGAGTAATATATTTATATATGTGGGTGGGAGAAAGTGAGTTTGTAAATTTTAGGTAGCTATTAGACAACTTTTAAATTTGATACTTTTATTACTTATGCCATTTTCTTCATTGTGCTCCTGTGCGAACTAATATTCGCCGAGTGTTGATTATAAACAGGGTTATTTATTTATATATGTGGATGGAAGAAACTGAGTTTGTAAATTTTAGGGAGCTATTAAACAACTTTAAATTTGATACTTTATTACTTATGCCATTTTTTCCACTTAGAACTTAACTTTGCTGTTTGAAATAAAATTTACACCCAAAATTACTCATGAGAAAAAGCACAACATTTGAATGACCCATGTAATGTCCACACTTGCATTTTAGTGATGTAATTTTAGTAAAAAAAGTGCAGACATTACATGAGCATATACGGTATTTTTAACAATTAGACACTAAATTTACGTCTTTGCAGAACCCTCTTTTTGATGATAATTATTTAATCTTTGATGATGTGGGGATAAAGGCATTAAGCCAATGAGCCTCGTAATTGAGCCCTCCCTTGGTCCTTGGTCTAACTTGCAGATATTTTACTTTTGTATGTGGTGTAATTTTAAATTATATGCTTCAACCAGAACAGATAATGAATTACCCTTGCTGTAAAAAGGTATTTAAGTAAAGCAACAGGCATATAAATCTAAATGGACTCTTAGCTGAATATCTAATTGAAAATATCTTGTAGATTTCATCCTTTTGTTTCTGAATTTGTCTCATCTTAGTAACAATCTAATGCATTACATTTTTAGAGCAAGAAAAATATGTGAAATATTTTAGTCTCTAAATATTTCTTTCATTTTATGCACACAATGTTAATAAAGACCAGACACTTGGAAAAGAGTGTCTGGTGATAAAATTCATCCTGACTAATGAGGGGACAGGTGGGAAAGTGATTAAAATTGGATAGTGAATAAAACTAGAAATTTAGAAACACCCTTATTTTTAACTTGTGGTAATTAAAAATACGTACAGTATTTAAATGTTAAAAAGTTCTGTTAGCACCAGATTTCAATTAATTGCATTACTATTAATTTTTGCAAGGGAAAAGTTTGTAATTTTATGTAGAGTAATTGTGATTTTTGAAGCAGAAGACATAAAAAATGTGAAATGCCCTCGCTCAAACTTGGACCTTTCGAATATGCACCAAGTGTGCTACCATTGCACCACGAAGGCCTGCTGGAAGGAGAGAGAAAATACCGTATGTATCCCACCTTTTAAAGGGCAAGTGGGGATTACGGGACCCAATTGCCAAATCCTGGATATGAAAACTCATTATCCACCACCCTTTAGTTTGGGCACCTGTGAAGAGTTGTTAGGATTTTTAAAGCAGTAGACGTGAAACATGTACCATGCCCTCGCTGGGACTCGAACTTGGACCTCTTGAATATGCACTAAGTATACTACCATTACACCACAAAGGCATGCGGAAAGGAGGGGAAATTCCTTATAACCTCGTGTGTTCCACTAACTTGGTAACTTAATAGTATAAAATCAAGTGATTCTGCATTACATGTGTCATATATGGCATTAGACATATCTTATTAATTACATTAATGTTGCAGATGTTCATAAAATCGTCAGTCAGGTATGCATAAACTATTTATAATTTAAATCAACTTTGAATTATGTTAATTAGATATTAATAATTTAAAAGATAAAGATCTCATGACATCTTGAGTGGTGACATCCTAGAAACTGGTTTTTGCCAGGCATTTAGAAAAAAAATTTTAAGTTATTTTGTCTTAGCAAAATTTGGTAGGTCTTGTAGATCTTAGATGATTTGTTAGTGACACGCTATTGTAGCCCTGAAATTTGGAACAAATCTTCCTATTTTTTTATGTCAAAACAAAATATTTTTATAAAAAGCCATTGCTGACTTTTGATGTTAGATGTTGATATGTTACTTTTACGATTAGTCATTAAATAAGGAAGCTGTTATTTTCAGATGTGTTTTTATGCAATATTTGCCTCAATTTAAGAATAGAATTTCTCTTACATAGTACTTTTACAATAGTACCTTTACAACATGCATATCATCGTAGAACACGCCCAAATAGTAAAACGGGAGCAATTGGCAGTGATGTATGAAGTTGCTAAGTTTTGGTTAATGTAGTTTTGACATGTTGTTTCATAATGATTTAGAAATTACTTTCAAAATGCAAAATAAAATAAGTTATTTAGTTGAATAAGGATAATGCAATGTTATTGGGTTGGTATCAGCTTTATTTTAGCAGGAGTGCTTTCTGTGATTAACACCATCAGCTGCAACCAAGTGAAACACAAATACCGTGAACAGCAAATATGATAACCTGTTTGTAGTAAGTGTCTTCTTCTATTTAGCTACAGCTGAAGCAGGTGATACTGTTCAGTTACTGCATGTGTTTCTGTTAAAGTAAAATTGACATCAAATAACATTGTGTTCTCTTTACTAAGTTTTACATGGTGTGTCATGTCATCCAGTCTAAAGTTATTATTTTACCTCAAGAAAGCATGCAAGAGATACATTTGTAAGTTTTTTTAGCATGTATTTCAGAATATGTCATAATTATTTTAAGAATGAAAAATTTCTGATTTTGTGTACTATGTAGACAAATCATTTTGTTCAAGTATTAGCTACTTAGACTTTCATGTGTGAAATTCACTTGATTTTGGGTTGGGAGTGGTCTAGAATTCTTGCCAATTTGGGAAGTGATATTTTTTCCCTTGAACCTTTAATAAGATCAAAAATGTAATTTTGTACTTCATTGTGTTCTTATTACTCTAGGAAGTAAAGCTGACCAGAATGAATGGACCTTTTGGTCTGAGTATTATGGGAGGTTGTGATCAATCATGCTTCCCATTCGGCGATGGGAATCCCGGTATTTTTGTGTCTAGGGTAAGAAGCAAGTTTATTTTCCTTTCTTAAACAAAGTCACATGAAAAAATATGTATTGTTAATAAATCTATGAATTTGTGTGTAATATTTTAAAAAAATATTTTCATTTAGATACTGAGATCATATTATGAAATCTGTTATTTTATTGCTTTTAGATTGTGCCTAATGGAACTGCTGCTAGAACTGGAAAGCTAAGAGTAGGGGATCGCATACTTAAAGTTAGTATCTTGTTAGCAATTTAATTTAGTACCTGTAGCTCTACATTAATGCTGTTGCTTTGTTCCTAGTGTAGAAGTTGCATACAAGTCAAACTAAATTCATATTCATAGATATGTGTGTGGATGGATAGGAATTTAGTTTAAGGCTGTCGGAAGACAAATATAAAACATATATGTTGAAAATTGTTATTCAATTAAAATGTGATTTTGCAAAAGAAAATAAAAATACTAGTAACAGAAATTGCTTATATTGAAAATAAGACAACGATCTATGATTAACTAAAATGTTATAATTATTCTTCTAAATAAATAGGGCAGAAAGCTATAATCACATGCTTGAATCAGAAGTACTTTATTTGATACTGATTTTTTTTTAATGCAAAAAAAAAAAAATGAATTTTTCTTTTCTTTTCTGTAGAGCAAAGTACATACCCCCCCTTCTTTTTTGACAGGAGGGGATTTTTAAAGTTGTTTATTTGAGAAAGGCATGTGAAATATGACTGGATAGTACTTTTACAGAAAGTTTACAAAGGTGTCACCGTTGTCTTTGCAACGCAAAAATATCACAGTTGCATAAACTTTCTGCCTTGAATTACAAAAAACATGCAGAATCCACGATTGTTTGTTTCCATATCCTATTCTGCGGGATATGTTAAAATCTAGTAATATATGTAATTCACTGTACTATTTCAAAAATTTTTGTTTGACCTCTTCTGAAGTGGCAAATCTCAATATGCTTTAGTACCCCAAACTTCTTGAATTGATAGCTTAGCCGGTAATAACACAGGAGCAGGAAACGCTAGAGGATAAAATAACCACTGTGTTAGAGACAAAATCTCTTTTTTTTACGGGTTATCCAGGTTCGGTGCAGGCTTAGAATGAATAGAAAGGCTATCATCCCTTCTATCCATAGAAGACCGAAGACAGAAATCTGATTTTTAGAAACAAATCCCAAGTTATCATTGCTCGAAATTTTACTCGTGCCATTTGTAGGGCTGAATCTCCACATCCAAAGGTCCATCTTAGCTTCTGCCAAAATGCCTTACTGAATTATTCATAAAATCCTTCATCTCTTCGTCCATGTTAAGGTGTGTGGCTTAATTATAGACATAAAAACATTTCGTAGCTTTTCTGCTATATGACTTAGTTCGGCAGATGAGACAAGTGAAACGAAATGGCAGCACCCAAATGGTGGTTTGGATCTAACCTCTAAAACTACCATTGTGTGGCTTTCATGAGACATGCTTTCATGGCTTGACTTTCATGAGATTATTATCATTCTCCCACCAAAGGAACCTTAAAAATCTCGATCCGCTCTTTTGAGTTCAATTTGCAGGAACGCTCCTCTTATATCCGCTGTAACCTCCATTGCTTTCGAATAATTTTTCGCAGATATTGGCTAATTGTCAATAAAATCTGTAGCACGCCTCCATTGCTTCATGCCTTGCACAAGATACTGAAATTTGTTTATTTCGTGGAAATGAGGGTCCTCGTGTATTTTTTCTTCAAATTGAGACCAAAATGGAAGCCAGTTCAATAAATCTTCATCAAACTTCTTAAGCTCTAATTTCTGGATCTTAAACGATCTAGTGTTACGAGGCAAATTACTAGAAATTCTACGTTATAACCTCGTTTCTAAATTTACCTCTTCCAAAGCACCTAACTTTTCACTAAGTAAGCAAGAAATGGTAATAAATTCGCATTTTTAAATGCACCAGCTTTCCATTTCTTCTTTAACTTTTTCAGTCTTCACATTACCCGAAATTACAGAATTCAAAATTTGCTTGTTAAGTTCTGCAGTATCTTTCTGTAACATTTCTAACTCTATAAATTTATATTTAAATCTTTCTTCTGAAAAATCATTTGTACCAATTTCTTTTTCAAAACACTTAACAGTCTTGGTGGAAGAATGGAATCCTCCGCATTTTTCAGTTAAAGGATCGATAATAAAATGAGTAATTACACCAGCTTTAATTCGCAGAATAGTACTCCAACTAAATTAAAGCAAAATAATTCTTACAGTAACCTCACTGCATCCTGTCACTACACCACTTGAAAGGAAACCTAAAAAAAGAAAAAGAAAGAAAGAAATCAGAACTATGCCGAGACTACCCTTTAGCAGTGTTTTCAACAGACCCTTATTATACAGAGTGTTTCAAAACTCATGTGCAGAAATTTAGGGGGTGATAAAAAGATGTGTATTAGAAATGCCTTCACGAGTGCATAACACATATGCATCGAAATCAGGCTGCACTGCTAGCAGTTGCAAAAACCAACATGCAAACTTGACATGTGGTGCATAATCTGCAGGTATCAAGGTTTGCACTTTTCAGTACATGGTAGGACTGTAATCTTTCGTCCCGTAATACTCTCCAAAGCATTAAGTGGTGCAAATTTATGGCACGGGAATCCTCTCGCGTGCCAATATCTGGACGATCTTCCACTCTTTGCAGAATGTCCTCAACAATTTGTAGATTCTGCTCACTCCTGCCATGCCGTGTATCATGTATGCCGGTGACAAAGGAGCCCGTTTCACACAGTCACCAGTGCAATCGCTTGAACACTTTTCGGTCTGGCATGTGTCTTCTCGGGAAATGTTGCATGTACAATCTTTTCGCTACCTGAGTATCCCATTTGCAAGTCCATGCATAAAAGTCATATCCGTATTTTCCTATTTACTGTACATCGACATGCCTTCTGAAATCCACGCTAGAAATGACAATGTGTAAGAAAACATCAACATGCCTTCTGAAATCCACGCTAGAAATGACAATGTGTAAGAAAACTCTCGCTTTATGCTTTCCATTACAACGGCATCTAGCGGTTTCCCGTTTGCTCTCCGCCCATGCATAGTGTGGTAAAAATTGTGTAGATGTATTTTGTCACCACTTCAATTTTTGCCCATGAGTTTCGAAACACTCTGTATATAGACTAACATAAACCTCAAAAATACTTAAACACAGGAAGTCCACTATCAGAGTATCTCTTTGCAGTATACTTTCAATATTTAGGAACTAAGAAATAAATTGTATCTACCTGGATAATGTGCACACTTTTTGACAATTACAACTTTATTGAAGAGACTTGATATAACCAGTTTTACATACATCTTAAAATAATATAAATTTTTTAACACTAGCAAAAGCAGTAAAAATACAAAATGGATAGAATTTTTAAAACACTGCAAGCAAAAGACCGAGGCATAACGTGCATGGTAAATCTGATGCCATCGACAAAACACAAACAAAAAGTTATTCATCCAATATAAAGTAACATAAATTCATAAAGTCTTGTAGATGACTCCCACCATTTGTTGATGCCATTACATAGCAACTTGTGAATCTAACTATTATGTATGTTTACATAATAACTTTACATTACTCATTTCTAAGCCTCAAAGAGCAGTCTTTATTGAAATTATTTTGCATGATTTGTAGAGTCATTAGGATTTTTTAAAGTAGAAACATCAAAAATGAGCAGTGCCCTCGCCAGGACTAGAAGCTGGAATCTCTCAAATATGCGCCTAGTGTGCTAACCATTACACCACGAAGGCATGCTGGAAGGAGGAAGAAAATACCTTATATGCACCCCCTTTGAAAGGGCAACTGAAATTAGGGGACCCAATCACCAAAATCATCATCCACCACCTTTTAGTGTAGGCACCAGTGTAGAGTCATTAGGTTATTTTTGAAGCAAGAGACGTGGAAAATGAGCAATGCCCTCGTTGAAACTCAAACCTGGACTTCTCAAATATGCGCCGAGTGTGCTACCGTTACACCACAAAGGTATGCAGAAAGGAGGGAGAAAATATATAGGCTCATATTTATCAAAAAACTAATGCCTGGCATCCACTTTATCTTAACTGTTACTGAAGGTGTTATTATGCTTAAAATTACATTCCAAACTAGGCAATCTAATAGGTTGGTTTATTCACTTAATGCCTTTGGTTTGAAGTAATTCATTAACCTGTTTGCATAATATATTTTCAGTATAAGGTAAGTGAGATTCTCAAGCATTTCCGACAAATATCGGTAGTATTGTAAGATTTTATCTATTATTTTTGGATAGCCGTAAATACTTTATTAAAAACTTGCAAAGGATTATGCTCTATTTCTGCCATTATCATTGCATTCTCTCTTGTTCTTGATTTTGTATAGATTATTTTATGTTACTTGCCTCCCTGAACTTTATGCACTTTTTGAACTTGAAATTTAACTTAACCCCTTGGGTACATTTGACGTCTGAGACATGTCATTCACTAGGAGCGGATAACGTGTCTAAGACGTCAAATCAAAAATTAAACTCTTGGGTACATTTGATGTCTGAGAGACATCATTCGCTTGTTTTCCCTAGGAGCGGATAATTCACATACTTTAGCACGAAACATTAAAATGCTGATTTGATAAACACAGGCAAAAGGAGAAAAAATGAAGGTGGCAATAGCGAAAATATTATAAAACCGGCATCTGTGCTTGAGTATAATAAAGGTATAGGAGTCTTTGATAAACAAGATCAATTGCTAGCGTGCTTTCCAGTTATGAGAAAATGTGTAAAGGGTTATAAGAAAATGTTTTTTTTTTATCTAATAGATATGGCCTTTTATAATGCTCATGTTTTATATTCTAAAATCAACTGCACAACCAAGGCAGGCATTACTTCCTTTCGCTTAGCTATTGACGCAAGAATAGCTGGAGCAATTATCATTGCCAAATTATAAACGTCGTGGACACCCATCAAGTAGCGATAAACCATTTCGTTTGGCAGCAAAAAATTGGGCACACTTTCCTGAGAACATTCCATCAACTAAGTCCAAGCAACACCCTGGAAAAAGGTGTGGTGTTTGTTATAAGCATAATATTAGGAAAGAGACTGTGGCAGTGCAAACAATGCAAAATAGCACTGCATTTACGTACTTGCTTTGAAAAATATCACACTCTGCATAATTATTAGTAATTGGTTTTTGTTATAGCTTGAATTTATTTCATTTAGTTTTATCTTGT